TAAGACAGCTCTCTGTTTGTACTTTACAAATTTTCTAGAAGGTGTGAAATCCCTGGTGTTAGTTATGCAGAGGAGAAAAGCATTAGTCGACGTTAGTGTCGAAGCTTTCCTGCCCTGTATCCTATATTTCTGGAATGTTCCCACAGCCCTTTGATTAAAACGAGCGCTTTCAAACGTTTTTGGCACTGCATCACTACCTCCGCTGCGCATGCCATGCGATAGATTCACTACTGTTTTTGAAGGAAAAAACAAAAGAATTCATCACAGTAACACGCATCTTCTAACATGCACTGTTTATTCTCATTGAAATGGTTGTATGAAGCAATAGAAGTAGCCGCAGTTGTATTTGCTCGACCTGGATTGTTTTACGTGTTGCAGCTACACATTCGGGTACACACCGGGAGGGCAAAGCGAAGTGTTCGGATTTTTGACACACAGCCCATTATTCTGGTTACACGTGGAACCGGGGAACGTGCTGCAGTCATCGTCGAACATACATGGACCAGATCCCACTTCATAAATCATGCCGAAATTACTCATAGCCGTGCTGAAATTAAGGAGAACATTAAGTAAGGATGACTTGGAGCCAAAAAGTGTGCTAAGACTGTAATCCTTCAATGAATTCCGGTATCCAGCGTGAGCTTGTTATTCAAGGGAACTGATGGGACGCAAATTGGTTCGAATAGCATTGCCTCAGTACTGGGGCCTCATAGCGAAGCTCGTGTGAACGCGAAGTCACGGTTGAGGATAATTCAAATACGTGGTCACGGAAAAATCGAAGTTGATCATAAGGTGACCCTGATTATTACGGATCAGATCATATGGATGCAACGTGAATTAGAGTGATATTCTATTACTCAGCACAGATGTGCAACTTCTACAGGAGCGCCTTATTCTAGGTGCCTATAAGGCGCTAAGTGAACCATTAACGACGCAAAACAAAAGACGCATCATTCGTCAAAGGTTGCATCTCCTTAGAGTTTGAGTTGTTTTTGAAAGAACATTTTGTCTCTTACCACTGTAGGAAAGAGCAGAACACCGATTTTTTACCATAGCACGTATCGGTGCATCCTATGCCGACAGCGTATCCCGCAACCATCTGAAAACATACACACATATTGTACAAGTGCTAATTAAGCGAATCTCTGCAAGCGGAGTGAAATCTAACATTGACTTACTTGAGAAAATAGGGTATAATCAAACGTAGGGTCGTAGACTGCAGTGCTATTAATGAAAGCACCAAAGTCGTGATTGCCCCACCACAGTTCGAAGGCGGCTGCTATGGGGATGGAGGACAGGTTCCTAGATGACAGGAGCTGTTTCATGACGTGAACTTTGGTATTGATGTATTTTTGAATGCATCTAATGTTTGAAACCATATGTGATACAAAGTAATTTTTAGATCTAAGTATTGCATTGTGGAAAATCTAGCTCTTCAATGAGTCATAGTATTTCGAAAAATTGAAAACAGTAAGACAGCGTGCAGGGTACCTCATAGGGTTGAGTGGTGACTGCTGACTGCAGATTTTTATTGCGGATTCCTCAGCAAAGCAGGAGTATTCCTTGAAAAGATAGTGATCAACACAAGAGTTGCCTATCTGGGCTAGACAGAGTGAAGTCATCTAATGGATTTAAAAAGCTCTGCTGAGTTCAATGGAGGCACTCCAATGATAATATCCAACCCCATTTTTTCTCGACTTACATTTTCGATTCACTTCCTATTGTTATGCTCAATAATACACTAGCGTCGGGAATCAAGCACCTACCAATTGATACATGTTCTGGCTTGGTGGATACCCAAACACTCCAGTTGTTGCAAGTGTACGATAAGCGTTGGCCAAATCTACAGCAAGCTTTCGCGTTTTAGGAGTCATGGTAGTGCCGTTGATTTTGCAATTGTATTCTGTAATATTTCCCGTATGCAAAATCAGGACCCATGCTTTTCTGGACTGAATATCTCTACTCATCTCCGAAGAGAAAAGAATAGAAGTTTTTGGTGGAAGAACTGCAAGCTTGGGGCAACAAACTTGTTATCGTGCCACTCCGCAGTTGAGGACTGCTAATTATATTGATATGAATATTGCAGAACCGTAAACAATTTGAGTGCTTACGTCATATAAATATTAGCTGAGGTGTGTGATGTTTCACTGAGCAACTTAATTCACGAGATGATTCCAAGGACACTGAATGGGTTAGTGTTCCAGCATGGATAAATTACAATACTGCTTTTTAGGCTACCATACTTTTCAGACCTACAAAGTTCATGAAAAGTAGATTTTCAAAGTAGGGCCATCGCCACGTTGAGCCATGGAATGCCCAACCACTACTAGAGAAGTCACCCCAATTTTTAAGGGCCTATCGAAGGGAAATTTCTAAGAAAGGTTTCGAAATAAAACGCGGTCAAGGTCGTCAACACTTTTGACACTAATTTTTATGCGTGCCATTGTTTTCGAAAACATGATGCCTAATTTTCGAACAATATTATTAAATATGAGTGGCATGAGTATTTAGTATTCAGTATTGAGTATCGAAAGGGATAAAGCTGACGACAAAAAAAAGGGAGCATCGATTAGTGGAAAGGCTATATTGACATCTAACATTGACACTCGTAAAACTACTCACCATCTGAAGGAGCGGCTTTCTTTCTTGTTTCAGCACTTTTTGTAGATACCGAACCCACCAAAATCTATTCAATTTGATTAAACAACTTACTTGAGGAATCAAAACGAAGCGGAGCCTNTCATTTGTTACAAAGTCACAATGGCTTAGTAGTTTTTTAGAGACGCTTGCATTCGAAGTGAGTGGTGGCACGCAATAATGTATTTGATTACTACCACGATTGTTCATCGCCGTACGCAATAGAATTGACGTGGCAAAGCACTGTATTTGAAAATGAACATGCACCCATTTGCCACTACACCACCGAATATATGGAGCATGGGCATGCAACAAAATTTAAGCGATATTGCAAGAGTCAGGTAAGAGGAGTATCCTCAAAACCTTCGAAAAATCGCGATAAAATCAACATGAAAGGGATTCGTAGGCCCCAAGGAGAAAGTCCTATAGAGTGCGAAATTTCGTCCCCCTTAGGGTGTTCTTCCCCATGGAACATCACACTTACCGCTGCTCCAAAATTCCGCATATGAACTTGGTATATGCTCGTTAATTGTGTTCACTTATGTTTAGTCTCACCTCAAACCACTTTTACAACTCCGTTCGGAGAACTCGAAACGCAGATTTGAGATCGACATCCCAAAGCGCGTCTAGTATTATAAGCCTATTTCTGAATGGCCACTTTGTCTTGGATTCCTTCTCTTGTGAGCTCGATAAGAAGAGTGAATATCCAATGTGAGTTACCGCAAGCTCAATCATCCAGTTCGTGCAGTCACTAGGCCTGACGTATGGCGACGCCCCAGTTAACGAAATCTCCACCAGAAGAATATGAAGGCTGTGAAGGTGCTGGAATAGTCACCCCGATACTAGCGAACAAAATCTCGAAGCTAGTTTTTCGACCAGGACTTCTACTGACTGGATCATACTTGATCGAATAATCTACAGGACTTTCACCAGCGCGATGACCAGACCATTCCATGAGCGCTCCAAGCTAAAATTCGCCATACATATTATTTTCTTAACGGAGGGGAAACACTGGGCTACATTGGTACGTGACCTGACGGATGGAGACGTTACTGGCGCCCAGCAGAGGAACTCGATGATCAACGGGACGACAGGTGACTAGTGGCAGCTTGTGTTGGTGCAAGTGCTACCTGAAATTTTTACTAAGCAAAAGGACCGTACAAATTATGCTGTCGGGTGTTTTGCCTTGATGGCATCTCATGTTTACATGCTCACAGTGATTTTGAATTTAGAAAGCGTCTGGGAAAATCGTGAATCTGTTATAATCATTCAAAGCATATCAGAATGTTCATTTTCAAATACAGTGCTTTGCCACATCAATTCTATTGTGTACGGCGATGAACAATCGTGGTAGTAATCAAATACATTATTGCGTGCCACCACTCACTTCGAATGCAAGCGTCTCTAAAAAACTACTAAGCCATTGTGACTTTGTAACAAATGAGAAATTTCCTACGCAATTAGAGTATCCCGCCACGTCAATCCTGCAACGTGTAGCGTGAGACCACGACGTAGTAACGACACTCATGAACACATGTCCGCATTTATTGGGAATTAAAGCGTATTTAAGGATCCCTGTATGCTATAGCGATCGTAGGAAGCAAAATGTTCGTGTTAAGCACATTGCTTGCATTTACGGTAGGCTCCGCTTCGTTTTGATTCCTCAAGTAAGTTGTTTAATCAAATTGAATAGATTTTGGTGGGTTCGGTATCTACAAAAAGTGCTGAAACAAGAAAGAAAGCCGCTCCTTCAGATGGTGAGTAGTTTTACGAGTGTCAATGTTAGATGTCAATATAGCCTTTCCACTAATCGATGCTCCCTTTTTTTTGTCGTCAGCTTTATCCCTTTCGATACTCAATACTGAATACTAAATACTCATGCCACTCATATTTAATAATATTGTTCGAAAATTAGGCATCATGTTTTCGAAAACAATGGCACGCATAAAAATTAGTGTCAAAAGTGTTGACGACCTTGACCGCGTTTTATTTCGAAACCTTTCTTAGAAATTTCCCTTCGATAGGCCCTTAAAAATTGGGGTGACTTCTNGCTCACGCTGGATACCGGAATTCATTGAAGGATTACAGTCTTAGCACACTTTTTGGCTCCAAGTCATCCTTACTTAATGTTCTCCTTAATTTCAGCACGGCTATGAGTAATTTCGGCATGATTTATGAAGTGGGATCTGGTCCATGTATGTTCGACGATGACTGCAGCACGTTCCCCGGTTCCACGTGTAACCAGAATAATGGGCTGTGTGTCAAAAATCCGAACACTTCGCTTTGCCCTCCCGGTGTGTACCCGAATGTGTAGCTGCAACACGTAAAACAATCCAGGTCGAGCAAATACAACTGCGGCTACTTCTATTGCTTCATACAACCATTTCAATGAGAATAAACAGTGCATGTTAGAAGATGCGTGTTACTGTGATGAATTCTTTTGTTTTTTCCTTCAAAAACAGTAGTGAATCTATCGCATGGCATGCGCAGCGGAGGTAGTGATGCAGTGCCAAAAACGTTTGAAAGCGCTCGTTTTAATCAAAGGGCTGTGGGAACATTCCAGAAATATAGGATACAGGGCAGGAAAGCTTCGACACTAACGTCGACTAATGCTTTTCTCCTCTGCATAACTAGCACCAGGGATTTCACACCTTCTGGAAAATTTGTAAAGTACAAACAGAGAGCTGTCTGGAAGCGTCGAAGGAAGCGTCGTTGAGTACACCCATCTTATACTGATTCGTGTAGCATTCCACTTACTCTTTTTCATCCTGTCCTATCTCGCAACTCTGAAGAGCAAAGTTTTGTAAAGTTGATCTCAGGAAACTCATTCAAGTTAAGTGATAATTGTGAAAAATTTCGAATATGAATTTTCCGGTGTCAGTTATTCCAGTGAGCCTACACTCCAGCATAATTTGCTCTCTCTAAGGATCTCGTAGACTGAGAGTTCTTTCCTATTCAAGAATTTCTGCCCGTTAGAAGCTACGTAACGTGTTCCAGGTGGCGGATAGGGTAGTACATCGCTGATCAAAATTCGCTCGCGCTTGCTCAGAAACGCAGGTGGTTTCAGGTAACGGACTTACGGTTTCTCTTGCGCTGGGACTTAATACCTTCTGTATTTGCGCGTGCACCCACGCATATGGATGTAGAGAGTATGGGTGCAGTCGGTATCTTGCCAATCAAGCGCTTGCATTTGAGTGAGTGGAAAGTGTACGGCAGGCGATCCGGTGACGCCTCCAAAAACAAAGCCCATTGCATACTCTGAGACGACTTGGCTAGCTATCCAAATTCAATCCCGCACGTTAGAACCTGGTAAGCTATATATGGGTATCCATGTGCCAAAAAAGGTAATATAAATGGAACTCAATCCCCTGAAACCGCCCCTTGCGCACCATTTTTGGAAGTGGAAAAGAACTGTTTCATGGAACAGCGACAGTAGAGGCGTCGGCGGTGTAGGTGTTGTGTTCACTCGAACTTGGTCATGAACTTCGATTCGTACGAAAGTTTTACCCGCAAAAGTCCGAGAAGGTTGTCAAGCTCTTAAGCTTTGTGCGTTCCGATGTTCGTATCCAAATTTTCGAAGATGCCTATATACCGACTCCTCTGCTTCGCGTGTTCCAGGGAACCGTCCTTTTTCAGTCTCAGAAAGCTACATCTCTTGGCCAGCCAGATGACATCGTCCTCTGCCTATTTTGCATCTTCAGATCTTCGATATAAGTTTTCGATGCAAACGTTCGTGCTTTGAAAGTGTAGATTATCTTATCAATGCTTTCAGGCACTCTGTTATAGCCCCGAGAACTTCCACGTTTTCTTACTGCTGATGCATGTTCATGAGAGGTGATATGACACCAACTTGTTTGAACACACGGAAATCCTCCGCTGAGCTCCCTCCCACTAAAGGATCTACAGTCGGCTAGTAATGAGGTCATGTGG